GAGTGAAAGAAGTATCCACTAATCTGAGATATTATACTTTCAAGTCATGCAAATAAGCATGTACATCAATCATATCCTTTGGCCATCTTGGCTGCAGAATTTCAGAAAACTAGTATGATATTGATTATCACTGAGATTGAGGCACTTTAGATATGAGTTTGAGAGTATTCAAGCCAATATAAAAATATACATATCCGCCATTTTGAAAGCATTATTTCGGAAACCTGATATCAGAATCGTTATCTGCGACCCCTAAAACTCTTTAGATATAAATTTTAGAGTATTGGTATCAATATAGGAAATCTTCTTGCCCGCCATTTTAGATCCGCCATCTTGGATACATAATTTTTGAAATCTGATGTCAAATTATTATTCAGCGACCCCAAAAACCTTTGTATACCAAATTTGAAAGGGATACTCTCATTATTCGCGTCAATAATGAATTTCTCCCCAAAACTTCAATTTTTTTCTTCTTTGTTCATTTAAAAATATTAAAAAATAACCCAATATATTGATTTCAACTGCAAAATTTTGTTTTTGAACTATTAATGAACTGAAAGAGTGCAAAAGACCCTGTTGAAATCCATAATGTTGTTCTAAAATGGCAAAAGAAGCAATAAATCAATGTGTCCATCAGGATGGACACTGTGCTTCAAAGGGTTAAAGTTAGTTAATTTTATTCGCCAATTACGTCATTTCATTTCCTATTAGCTTAAGCGATTTATAAAGGCTTAGATTTTAATCCGATTTCATCTAGGGAATTAAGCGGATTAGGCATAAAGCCACTCACACCTAAGATACATCGAGTGTCACAAGTCAAGTGACTTAAGGTAAGTTCAACTCAGTTGGAAAGAAGACATCAAAACGAAATCATCAGACGTAAAGGCGGGTACACGTACAACTATATGTGTTTAAAGGAGCGGCGATTAGCTCTGCATTGTGGGAGTTTGTGCTTAAATAAATTTTCCATTTTGTTAGATAACCTCCCCGTTACATATTGAAATAAAAAAGTATAGGCTTCCAGAATTAATTTCTTTCTGTGCTATTTTCTCCTATTTTTTTATTTTTTATTTGTATTTTCCATTTTCTTATTTTCAAGAAATGACCTTGAGGTCAAAGTTAAAGTATCGATATTTCTTTGGACCAAACCCTACAACTATCGTTTCAATAATTGTGTCGAAAAAAAATATCCTGGAAAGTTTTACCATGTATATAGTTATTTTGATACACCTTATACAGGGTGTCCAAAAAGTTCCGGGACACCCTAGTAAGTTCTGAGATATAACTATTTCCGAGGAGATTAAGGTCATTCCTGTAGTAACTTTGAACGAGGAATCCAGTGGTGACATTGGTTTTGACCTTGAGCTTGACCTTCATGGTGATTTCAAGGTCAACTTTTTTTTTCAAATGTGAACCCCTATTTTTAACAACGGCAATCGAAAGAGCGGGAAATTTTACGTTCAAAACGGTATTTTAAAATTTTTTTTCATGGCCTTGAGAAGGTCGATTTAAGGTCAAATGCTTGAAAAACTGCCTAAAACCTTTTTTTTAATTTATAAGATATAGAAAAATGACCTCTACAAAATTTGTTCAGAGCAGAGTGGGCCACACAATGCACCAAAAACCTTTGACCTTTAACCTCATTTTGAAGGTCATTTCAAGGTCGAAGTATTTTTGTAATGGAAACTCCTATTTTTGACCCCGGATTCGCACATAGCGCGAAATCAGAAAGAAATATTCAAAATGCAGTGAGTGGAAAAAACTTATCCGGCAAAAAAACTGTACCTATGTCTCTGCTTGCTCCTCATTTAAAATAACTTGACTTTGGGTTTGGATAACCCGTTACTTTATTATTCAAACAATCAAAGGTGACCTTGAAATGACCTTAAAATGATCTTGAAGGTCAAAGATAAGGTCACTGTAACATGCTCCCAGTAGAATTTAATAAATTTAGCCCGAAACATTTTATAAATGTTTCGCGAATAATATTGGATCTATATTTCACATGACCTTAGCGATGAACGTCGTGGATCAATCGAAACTCAACATAATACCTTATCCAAACGTCGGATTTCGCGCTATGTGTGAATCCGGGGTTAAAGAGAGGGGTTTCCATTACAAAAAACACTTCGACCTTGAAATGACCTTCAAAATGAGGTTAAAGGTCAAAGGTTTTTGGTGCATTGAGTGGCCCACTCTGTCCTGAACAAATTTTGTAGAGGTCATTTTTCGATATTTTAAAAATTAAAAAAACGCTTTTAGGCAGTTTTTCAAGCATTTGACCTTAAATCGACCTTCTCAAGGCCATGAAAAAAAATTTTGAAATACCGTTTTGGACGTAAAATTTCCCGCTCTTTCGATTGCCGTTGTCAAAAATAGGGGTTCCCATTTGAAAAAAAAGTTGACCTTGAAATGACCTTGAAGGTCAAGCTCAATGTCAAAACCAAGGTCACCACTGGATTCCTCGTTCAAAGTTACTACAGGAATGACCTTAATCTTCTCGGAAATAGTTATATCTCAGGACTTACTGGGGTGTCCCGGAACTTTTTGGACACCCTGTATATGTACGAGGTGTGATCAAAAAGTAAGGTGAATTTTGAAATTTAGCGGGCTACGTCCGTTCGATCTTCGACTTTTTTATTTGGTTATGTCGGTACAATCGTCTAGAACATACGTTCCAAATTTCAATTTTGTAGTATGTTTGGTTTTTTGGTCAGAGGCATCAAGGTTAGAAGTGTTTTGCGTGCTCCACGATTTGCTGCAGTCTAAAAACATGGATCAAAGAGTTTGCATTAAATTTCGTGTGAAAAATGGAATCAAATGTTCCAAAACACTTGAAATGCTGAAAGTGGCATACGGTGAGTCTACTTTAAGCCAAAAAAATGTTTACAAGTGGTATAAACTCTTCCAAGAAGGCCGAGAAGACACCGACGACGAACCTCGTTCTGGACGTCCCAGCACATCAACAACTGATGAGAATGTTGAAGAAGTGAAGAAAATAGTGTTGGGAAATCGTCGAATTACCATTAGAGAAATTGCTGATGATATTGGCATCTCATTTGGTTCGTGCCAATCAATTTTGACGAGTGTTTTAGACATGAGACGTGTGTCAGCGAAGTTTGTTCCGAAATTGCTCAATTTCGACCAAAAGAAACGTCGCATGAGCATCGCCCAAGAGCTACTGAATGACGTCAACGATGATCCAGATTTACTCAACAGGGTTATTAACAGGTGACGAAACATGGGTATACGGTTATGACGTCGAGACTAAGACTCAATCGTCCCAGTGGAGGCATTCTGGATCACCAAAACCAAAAAAAGCACGCTAAGTTCGATCAAATGTAAAGGTTTTGCTTACAGTTTTTATTGACTGCAGGGGCGTGGTGCATCATGAGTTCTTGCCACAGGGTAGAACAGTAAATAAGGAATATTACCTGCAGTTAAGCGCAATTTGCGCGAAGCAATCCGCCAGAAACGTCCGAATTTGTGGAAAAATAAAAATTGGCTTTCGCACCACGATAACGCCCCTGCTCACACATCGTTGCTTGTGCGCGAATTTTTGACTAAAACCAACACAGTAACGATGCCATAGGCACCGTATTCCCCAGATCTGGCCCCCTGTGACTTCTTCTTGTTCCTAAAACTGAAGAGGCCCATGAAAGGACGGCGTTTTGCCACGATTGAGGAGATAAAGACGGCATCGAAGGATGAACTAAACAAGATCACAAAAAATGATTTTTTGAAATGCTTTGAGGATTGGAAAAAGCGTTGGCACAAGTGCATTATATCCGAGGGGGATTACTTTGAAGGAGATAAAATAAAAATTGATGAATAAATAAATATTTTTTGGTAAAAATAAAAATTCACCTTACTTTTTGATCACACCTCGTACATGTAGTATGAGAAGACATCAAGTTGGTCTTAACAAGACTGAAGGTAAGAATATTTTTCTTGTCTGTCAAATAACTGCATTGAAACTGTATCAATTAAACTAAAATTTTTAAAAATGAAAGATTATAATCTAGATTTGCGAGCCACTGATCGACAAAACAAATATGTTCCGTAGATTAACGTCTCACCAACGGAACTTTATTAAACTACACGTTGACGAAAACCAGAGTTTAAATAGGTCGGTTCGGAGTAATCCTTAGTCGGCGTGCATAGAGTTTCAATTTAGTCGATATGATAAATATAGCAGCTCTTGTCAACAATCAAGTCACCAAAATCTATCGTTTACCATATCTCTCATTGACAATGTCCTCTTTTACTGCTGCACCTACAGGACACACAAGACATCTCTAGCTTGTTGTTTGCTTATTTCCCTGTATCGATCTATACTTATCACCTATTTATCATAATTAAAAACTCGGAGCACACGCTTGCTGTTTGTTAACCTCATGACCGAGAAAGTATTAATTCTCTGCTTACTTTTCTCTCTCACTATTTTTCTTGTATAGATACAATACGCGTCATCTCCTGTACACGCTCCTACACATACAGCATAGCAACATGCTTTTGAATACTATTATGCATAGCATACGCTGATCGTTACTATGTGTACCCAAACTAAGTTCTAAGCAAAAGTATAGAATTTAAATTTAGCCGTATCGGAGTTTAAATATTGTCAGTTATTTCACTGATTATTCCATAGACTGTGAGTTCAAACAGCTGCCATGAAGATTAGAAAGTTCAGATAATGTAACAATAGTTTAAAAACTGCAAATATTTTCAACTAGATCACTTGGTTCAGGATCGAACAATTAGGTAACTGCCCATTATGTTATTAAATAATATCATCCAAAATTATTTGAAAAATAAATTTTCAGAAAAATGTGGCCAATAAGTTATCATGAAAAATGTCGTGATAATTATCCAGCAGGATATCATGAATAAGTAAAATAGATTTAATTATCAACGTTCACATTAAATCGTATATATAATTTAATTATTTCTTCAAGTTAAAATTGAATATCATTAAAATATCATATCTATAAACTTACAAAACATAATCTTGTTTACAATATACTTGAGAGTCACGAATGAAACATGACCGTTGGTCATGAAGAGATCTTGAGCAAGTATAACATTTAAGGCATTTTGCATGCCATGTACGATCACCTATACATAACACGGTCCGTTCTTGAACACTTTTTCCGCAACCTCCACATTCCATTTCTAATGTTTCATGTTTTTTTCTAATTGATACATTATTACCAGATAACATCAAAAAGTGGTCTGTCTTTTCCATTTTGTTTTGAATATCTTCCTGAAAAGGACATGTTTAAGATGCAGTTAAAATAGTGGATATGTGGGTGATAAAAACAAATTTTACATTAAATACGAAGTTCATATTCAATAAAGTTAAGTCATATTCAATTCTGTTTTAGGTTTGACAGTAGAATTTGCTGTACGTATTTCTCTCGAGAAATTGGATTTTTTTCTTATTTATATGTATCAATTTTGACATATACGCTCATATAATTCATATATCATGAAAATTGACATACTTGGTTAGTAATTCATTATCAAAGAGATAAATAATAGTAAATTATTAGAAGTTTATTTGAACACATTCATGACTTCGAATACGAAAATTTAGTAAACCAGATTTTTTTCTTTTGATTATTCCTTTTATAATAAGGAATTTTATTATGCACACATACAAATTGTGATCATCAACTAATTGGCAAATTAGTAAAAATGGCTGAAAATTGCTGAATTTATCTATCATTGTTAATTACTAATTGGCTATAAATTGCCAATTTGTATGTGTTTTAGACATCTACCAGTGTAAAGATAACAGAGAGCAATTAATTCAGTTTGAGCAACTCATACATATTTAAATTATTTAGTTTGTACTCGTTATTTCATATCTATAGTATACACACAGATGTGCAAGCACACACATATACATACAGGGTGTCCAAAAGGTAACGATACACCTGAGAAATTTTCTAAGCCGTTTATTTGTTTAACCGGGTGAAGGTTGTTCTTGAAGTAACTTTTTACGAGGAATCCGATGGTAACCTTGGATTTGACCTTGAACCTCATTTTCAAGGTTATTTTGAGGTCAACCTCATTTTTTTAAATGGAAACCCCTATTTTTTATGGCGGAATCGGAAAGAGCGGAAAATTTTACGTCCAGATATGTATTGAGGTATGAGGTTGAGGTAACCCCTAGAGGTCAACTGGAGGTCAAAGTATGAATTCTTAAAAATCTCGCGAATTCAGTGGTTAAACAAAACAAACAAAAGGATAACCCCAAGTAACTTTCAACGGTGCTCTTTAATTTGTCCTTGAACCTCATTTTCAAGGTTATTTTGAGGTCAACCTCATTTTTTTTAATGGGTACCCCTATTTTTTATGGGGGAATCGAAAAAAGTGAAGACTCTCACGTATGGATGAGTTGAGGTTTGAGGTTAATGTGACCTCTAGGGGTCAGATGAAGGTCAAACTGTGGCTTTGTAATAGAACCGGGATTTTAGTGGTACAAGGAAGCAGATAAAGGTCATGGAAACCCCCATTTTCGACAGCGGCAATCGAAAGAGCGGAAAATTTCACATCCAAATATCTACTTAGATCATAAGTCAAGGGCGAACTTAAAGTTTAAGATCAGTCGAAGGTCATCCAAACTTAAAGACGCCCTAAAATTTTTGAAAGTTTTTTTCATAATGGAGAAGGGTATTTATTTAGTAATTGCCCATCGGAGATCCGTGACCTTGAATTTAACCTTCAACCTCATTATCAAGGTTTTTTCAAGATCAATTTTTTTTACTTTTAGCGTTACCCAGGAACAACGACGTGGACGTAGTAAAATCTGTCCCTTTGGGGTGCTTTATTTTCGTGAGTTCCCCTCGCCTCTCACGATCGGGGTGCTTGATTTTCGTGAGTTCCCCTCACCTATCAACAATGATTTTTTACGCTTATTTTCTTAATAACTTGATTAGCCGGTTAAACTTTTTAAAGTTTTTTACTATCCCATACCTATTCATTGAAAATCCACTAACAATTTCACTTAGTTCTATCCTTAGGAAATGTACTATGCCTAACTTTATCGTTTTGAGCTTATTCTTCGGGACAATTGCATTTTCAAAAATTAGTATTTAAAAAAGCAACATATTTGAAAAGATTTTACCATTCGAAAATCTCCATAAAGCATTAGTGCATTAGTCGGACTGTAGTAGTACTTTTTTGTAAAAGTACTCAAATTATAATTTTCATTTTTTGAAAACATTTATTTGGGTTACAAACTTTTTGTTTTTAATTCTGATTGATTTTTGAGTAAATTTCGATTCGCTGACTTAAAATGGAACGCCTCACTGAACGAGAAAGAATATCACTTCTTATGATGAGAGGCTGGGGTGGAGTAGAAAGATCTTACAGGGCAGTGAGAAATCTTTTTAATGAGACATTTCGGGTTAATAGAACTCCAATTGCTGTGTCTACTGTTCAGAATACTATTTCAAGGTTTGTAAATTTTGGCCATGTCAGAAATCTACCTGAGTCAGGCAGACCATGCTCAGCAACAAATGAAGAGAATTTATTAAATGTTCTATTATCATTCACTGAAAATCCACATAATTCCATCCGCAGAGTTGCTCAAGAGCATGACATAAGTACATCGTCCGTACATATCATTTTAAAAACAGCAAAATTCCATCCGTTTAAAGTACACCTGGTTCACAAGTTGAATGAAGACGATTTCGATCGTCGTGTTGAGTTTTGTGAAGATATGATGGCACGCATAATTGAAAATTCAAATCTTCCATCAAACATAGTTTTCTCTGATGAAGCAACTTTTCAACTTGACGGAACATTAAATCGACATAATTGCAGGTACTGGGCTGCGGAAAATCCACACTGGATGCGAGAAGATAAATCGCAATATCCGCATGCTTTTTACCACCGATTAGCTTAATGTCAAGAAGTGAACGGTGAACAATTCGAGCACTTAAAATAAGATGTGCTGATGTAAGATAAATCATACGTGAGAGGCCAGGGGAACTCACGAAAATCAAGCACCCCGATCGTGAGAGGCGAGGGGAACTCACGAAAATAAAGCACCCCAAAAGGACAGATTTTACTACGTCCACGTCGTTGTTCCTGGGTAACGCTAAAAGTAAAAAAAATTGATCTTGAAAAAACCTTGATAATGAGGTTGAAGGTTAAATTCAAGGTCACGGATCTCCGATGGGCAATTACTAAATAAATACCCTTCTCCATTATGAAAAAAACTTTCAAAAATTTTAGGGCGTCTTTAAGTTTGGATGACCTTCGACTGATCTTAAACTTTAAGTTCGCCCTTGACTTATGATCTAAGTAGATATTTGGATGTGAAATTTTCCGCTCTTTCGATTGCCGCTGTCGAAAATGGGGGTTTCCATGACCTTTATTTGCTTCCTTGTACCACTAAAATCCCGGTTCTATTACAAAGCCACAGTTTGACCTTCATCTGACCCCTAGAGGTCACATTAACCTCAAACCTCAACTCATCCATACGTGAGAGTCTTCACTTTTTTCGATTCCCCCATAAAAAATAGGGGTACCCATTAAAAAAAATGAGGTTGACCTCAAAATAACCTTGAAAATGAGGTTCAAGGACAAATTAAAGAGCACCGTTGAAAGTTACTTGGGGTTATCCTTTTGTTTGTTTTGTTTAACCACTGAATTCGCGAGATTTTTAAGAATTCATACTTTGACCTCCAGTTGACCTCTAGGGGTTACCTCAACCTCATACCTCAATACATATCTGGACGTAAAATTTTCCGCTCTTTCCGATTCCGCCATAAAAAATAGGGGTTTCCATTTAAAAAAATGAGGTTGACCTCAAAATAACCTTGAAAATGAGGTTCAAGGTCAAATCCAAGGTTACCATCGGATTCCTCGTAAAAAGTTACTTCAAGAACAACCTTCACCCGGTTAAACAAATAAACGGCTTAGAAAATTTCTCAGGTGTATCGTTACCTTTTGGACACCCTGTATATATCATCACAGATTTCGCGTAAGTTATGATTTACGATGATTTACGGTCGTTCAATAAGTCCATGATTTTAAATAAAGAAGCACTATTTATTTAAATATTTCCAATTTATTTTTCAACATAGTTTCTTTTCAAGGTTTTTTATGCCCTTTGAAAAGTAATAATACCAAACTCCTTAAAATACTCATTTATCGTAGCAATTACCTCTTCATTGGATGAAAAAATTTTACCCGCAATCCAAATTTTCATATCAGGAAACAAAAAATAATCGAAAGGAGCTAAATCTGGAGAAGAAGGTAGGTGAGAAAGTATTTGGTAGTATTCCATCTTTCGGTGACAACAACACGTAACCATGTCTTTGGCCGAATTATATAGGAACATACAAATTTCAAGAAGAATCTATATTTGTTGATCGCAGCCAGTAAGAGAAAAAAACTTTCCAACATCGTTTTACAGTCTAACATAGTTTTTTGGGGGTTGTTTTTCTCGAATTGTGAAAGCTGAAGAACACGTGGATGTCAAGCCATTCTGAGTCTCAGCATGTTTTGGGGAATCTAAATTGTCTAGAGGAACGACACTCGTTGTTCAATGGCCCGCACCATAATAAAAGGGTCAGCCGCGATCACCCGCCAATGGACTTCGCATGGAGTTCTACCGTTCTCTCAATCGCTGAACTAAGATTCCCCCGTGGTGCTGGGCCTGAGGAGTAGGGAGAAATTTTCTGTGCGTCCCTTCTGCCAAAACACGTATCGCGCGTCAGTCCTACTCGGGAAATCAATGGCTACGAACGATCTGCTCTGGTGATCCTTGCTCTCTATCTTTCCTGAAAGTTACGAGCCGCGAGTGTTACGTGTAAGTGCGTTGTATGCACCTTCCACCTTCTGCAACTATACTACTGTGGGCAAAAAGTAAGGTGAATTTTCAATTTAAACTTCGCGGGCTTAACATTTCGGGCTAGTTCTTTTTTTCTTGAGTTGGTAGGACTGCGAATGACATCTGGGACAAATTTCATGTCAATGTCATCATCAGTAATATATTTACGCTTGTGTTTACCAAACGACCAAGAGTGCATGTTTCGATTTTTACAATGTCTGATTTAATTGAGCAAAGAAGTACCATCAAATTTTGTTTGCGGAATGAAATTTCGGCTGCGGAAACGTTGAGGATGTTGCGGAAGGCCTTTGCTGATTCTACCATGTCGCAGAAAAATGTTTATAAGTGGTACAAAGACTTCAAAGAGGGTCGAGAACGTGTTGATGACTTGGAGCGCTCCGGACGACCATCGA